ATAATAATAATAATAATAATAATAATAATAATAATAATAATAATACCACCAATATTACTATTAACTATTATATTATTATCTCCACATCATCAATGATCCTTATATATCAAGGATACTCACCAATCACATGCCAACACACCCCACCTAAGGGCACACCAACATAAAATAATTAAATTAACACCAAAATGACTAAATAAATAAAATGGGTGTTACAATGAACAACCAGATTTCATGTTTGCCAAAAACAAAAACCCTAGGTTAATTTTGAGATTTGGGATTGGGAAGGAGGAAGGAGAACGGAAAAAAAATTAACAAACAATATAGGGATGGGAAGGAGAAAGGAGAAGGAAACAACATGATGAAGATAACTTGCCAAGTCATTTGCCACGTACACAAAATGAACGAACGTTTGGGGACAACTAACGATGAAGACTCAATTGACACCATTTTAAAAGTTAGAGGACCAACTTGCCACTTTTTAAAGTTAAGGGACCAAACTGGATTCCGAGCTAAAGTTAAGGGATGAAAAGGGATATTTTGCCAAAAAAATAAAAGGATATGTAGTGTCAAACTGTCAATATAAAATTATTTTACACGGTCAAACAAATCAACAACTATATAACGCCAAATCATATTTAAAATTTAAAAGTATTTTAATAATTTAGTTTCATTAAAACTATTTTACATTATTTGTTCATGGGCATGTTTCTGTTTGTTTTATCTTTTAAAAAAATAGATTTTTTCTTTTTATTTTCGAAAATGATTTTTAAAAAAATTATAAGTTTTCTTCAAATTGATTTTTTATAAATCGAAAGATTAATTTTGACATCTTATAACATAAACATATATTGTTAAAATTGCAATTTTGTCAAAAAGTGTATTTCAAAAATGATTTTAATAAAAAAAATATTTGAAATAGCTTCAAAATCAAGTGATTTTTGATTTCCAAAAAAAAGTTTCAATTAGATAATGAAATGCCTAAAATAACATTTTAAGAACAGCTATTCATGTTTGAACAATTAAGGTTTTCAAAAAGAATATATATATATATATATATATATATATATATATATATATATATATATATATATATATATATATATATATATATATATATATATATATATATATATATATATATATATATATATATATATATATATAGAGAGAGAGAGAGAGAGAGAGAGAGAGAGAGAGAGAGAGAGAGAGAGAGAGAAAGAGAGAGAGAGTATAATGTGAAAAAAAGAATTTTATTAAAGTGAAGTTGTTGTACTAATTTACAATGTTACATGTATGTATAAACATAAAAACACAATTTACATGCTTACACACTTCGACACACATATTGTACTCAACTCTGTTGAATATAATATGTGTCGAATACATCTTGCCTACTATAACACTTAATTATATCTTCTAACGCACCTCTTAATTCATGTTTTTTAGGTGTTCATACATGTGATGCCATAGTCATTTCCTGTCTTCAACAACAATTGAAGCAAGAAATTAATGAGCAGCCGTGTTGATGTCTACTTTCAAGGTTTTGTTATATGTCAATGGTGCCTTCAAGATCATCCTTCCTTCACCATCACACACCTTCATCAAATTTTCTTCCAACTTTATGTTATACCTTTTGGCAAGTAATTGACTTATGTTTATCAAATTACTTGTCATCGAAGGTACATACAATACATTAGTAATACTGGCCCTCTTACCATCTTTTCTCACCACAACCATGTTTTTTTCCACTTGATGTGACATGTCTTCCATCGGCGAACCTGGTCATTTTTTGGCCGATTCATCAAACTTGGTGGACCGCTTTTTATTACTAGTCACACGGTTACTACATCCAAAATCCAGGTACCACATATTGATTTATTCATTATCCGACTTCGTATTTTCCATGAGTAACATATCATTAGAGTCACTTCCTCCAACATATGTATATTGAACTGTGTCATTATCTTTCACTATTGACTCCTTTCTTTGACAATCTCGAGCATATTGATTAAATCCTTGATAATTATAACACCAAACCTCATTTATGTCAACTTTCTTCCTCAAATACTTATTGCCCATGACTTTCTTGGTTGAATTAGAGTGATTTTTGAATTCTTACTTGACTTTTCATCATTTGTAGGATTCTTTCTTTGCTTGCCTTTATTTTCCAAACTTCTTGATGAATCTTGCATGCAATAACTGTTCTGCCACCTTATCCCCTTTTGAGTTTCTCTGCTTCAACCTCATCTCATGAGCCTCTAATGAGCTTGAAGTTCTTCTAACTTCATCTCAGCTAGGTTCTTGGATTTTTCAATAGACAATTCAATATAATCAAAATTTGTAGTAAGAGATCTCAACACTTTCTCAATCTTCTGCAAATTATTGATAAGTTCACCACATGCCTTCATCTGATTTGTGAGTAACACTGATCTTGAGAAGAAATTAACAACCAATTCATCTTCTTTCATCTGTGTTATTCCAAATTACTTGCTTAACATCTACAACTTTACTTTCTTCAATTTTTCATCTCCGTCATACAAATTATTTAACTTGTCCCACACTCATTTGGACGTTTATTCTTCAATGACCTTCTTGAACACATTAGGATATACACATTTATGAATCAAGAAAAGAGCTTTTGCATCTTTCTTCCCCAGTTCCTTGTGCACAACCTTTTGAACATCATTTACATTCGCTTCCAATGCAGATACTCCACCCCTCACAATTTCAACCACATCTTGAAATCTGAAGATGACTTTCATTTGCGCAACCACCTATTATAATTCTCGCATTTGAACATCGGTAGATTTGCTGGAAATTAAGTGATGTTTGTTATCGTTTGCCATTACAGATTCTTTGTAAATCACACTGGACTCGTTGATACCAATTTGTTAAAACAATTAGGATTTTTAAGAAGAATGAAGAAGAAGGAGAGATAAATTATATTGTAAAAAAACATTTTATGAAAGTGAAATTGGTGTAATAATTTACAAGTTTACATGTATATATAGGTAACAAAGCACACCTTACAAACTGTATTATTCAACTCTATCAAATGCTTGCTTACATACTTCGACACACATGTTGTATTCAACTATGTCAAATAATATGTGTCAAATTCATTTTGCCTACTAAAATATTGACTTACATCTCCTAACAATTCAAACCAATTTAAAATTTTTATTAAAATATTTTTTATAATTTAATAAAACATTATAAGAATCATTTAAATGAAAAACTAATTCCATCGGCCTCATATCCATTACACTAAAAAATTTCATACTCATAAATATTGCACAAAGTTTGCTAGGATAGACACTCAATAATATTTTAATATTTTTTTGTGTTAAATATATTTTGATCCTTATAAATATCTCACACTTTATTTTTAGTCTCTATAAAAAAAGACATATTTTGGTATTTACAAAAATTTCATGCATGCAATGTTAATCTTTGCTATTTTAATTATCCCTAAACTTTTAAATTTTTGAATAATTTTTTTCATGCGTATTCAGGCTAGTATAAAATATTTCTTTACCAAATTATATAATTTTTTAAAATGAGAAAAATTAAATATGAATTTTTAAAATTTTAAAAAATAATAATAAAAATAATGAAAATCTCGATTTATAAATTAAATTTTGAATTCTTTTTTTCCGAAGAACTCGTACTAGATATATTTATAAAATAACCATTCAAAAATATATATTAATTTAACATTAAAAACAAAAATGACGTGTATAATTATTTTATAGAGAGTAAAACACACTATTTTTTTTATAGAGACTAAAAATAAAATTTGGTAATTTTACCTGGATAAAAACATATTGATCCATATCTTTTTTTATAAAATAAACAAATATTTTATAAAAACACAATATTAATGTTATTATTTTAAAAATTTCTCACAAATTCTCTCCATTTTATAGTATGATATTTTTATTAACTACTAATACATACAAATCATCTTCTCGTCTACATACACACGTAGTATATTTTTATACTTAAAATAATAATAATATATAAGAATGAGTAAAAGAAAAGAAAAGTTTTTAACATAATATTTTCAAAACAATTGAGTCAAAGAAAATTCAAAATTCAAAATAAAAAATTCAATCGAGAGTGGAAAAAAGAAAGAAATGGTTGTACTAGACATTCCGAGATTGAGGAACCGGAACACCATTGGGTTCAAAATAAGCGTGCACAAGAGAGAGAGGTTATTGTTTGTCTTTTGAATTACCCATCAAATTTTCCGTTGAGTTGTTCTTGTTGTTCTGTCTTCCAAGTTCTGACAAAGTTTGAAACACCCCCACACAAGTAACCTTTTTTTCAGCAATATTAAAATACAAAAGGAAAATGTTTTTGTGTTCCATTCTGACACCGTCACGTGATCCTGCAAATTCAACATAGTTTCCCATTTTCCTTTCAACTTCTTCTATTTACTTTTCTACTGTACTTACTACTACAGTAACAGTGCCAATTATTACAATTCACACTCGCTCTCCATTGTTGAACTTCCCTCACCTACCACTCTCAGATCTTCTTTCAAACCAACTAGGTACTTTTCTTTTCTTTTCTTTTTTGTTTTGCTTTCAAACCAACTAGGTATCAGGAACTTGGTTGTTGTCACTGTTTTTTTTTATTATTCCCCTTTTCGAATTTTTTTAGTACTGTTGATTATATACTTTGCAAACTTTCTTTCTTTCTTTATAGTTAATGTTTGTTTTATTTATTCCTTTCTAGGTCGACGGTTTTCTCCTTTTTTTTGTTTCTTTACTTTTTTCATTTTTTGAAAACTTGTCATCTTTGTTTCTAACTCGTGTACTCCTGTACCACTACTAACACCTCTCAGTTTCAATTTTAACTACTGTTACTGAGTCTGTTCTTTGGATCTTAGGTTTTGCTGCATTTTTTTCCTTTGCTTTTAAGGTTTTTAGCTGAGTTGTTTTGCTTGGGTTTGTGCTTATTTGGCTACATTTTGATTTTGTGAATTGCAGAAAATGGGGATCATCTCAAGGAAGATTTTCCCGGCTTGTGGGAGCATGTGTGTTTGCTGTCCTGCTTTGAGGTCTAGATCAAGACAGCCTGTCAAACGATACAGAAAATTGCTTGCTGATATCTTCCCGAAATCCCCGGTTCGTGTCTTATAACACTTCTCTTTTCGAGTTTTAGCTAATGCATTTTGAGCACATTGACACTAGTAATAATTTGAAAAATGAGAGTAACTGAATGTAACCACATGTGTCTGATAGTTACAGTTATTTTCATTTTTCACATGTTGGTGAATCATTTTACACATGGTAGTATATTTTCACTTTATTATTTTGATTTGTTAGCGTATTTTCACTTTGTTATTTTGATTTGTTCGCGAAGTAGAGCTCTGGTATTCATGTTTGACAACATTTCTCAGGATGAGCTTCCAAACGAAAGGAAAATCGTCAAATTATGTGAATATGCCGCGAAAAACCCTTTTAGGATTCCCAAGGTATTTATCTATGCACGAGTAAATTATCTAATTTCATTCAAAGAAGACGAGGATGATAGGATCTGCTCGAGTTATCTCAATTTGTTTATTTCTGAGGTTCACTGTTTCTGCTCGTTTTGCTAGATAGCAAAGTATCTTGAAGAACGATGCTACAAAGAACTGAGATCTGAGCACATCAAACTAGTCAAGATTGTAGCGGAATCTTTCATTAAGTTGCTTTCCATTTGTAAGGTGCAAATGTAAGTTTCTCATGATTGATTATTTTGTCTTTCCATTATTCTGTTGGCAGAATTTTATATGTTTTGAATCCTTTTCTTTAGCTCATTTATAGTATTTGATTCGTCTTAAAGCTTTTCATTTATGTCGTGCTAATTGCAGAACATATTTTGCTGTTGATGTGCTTAATGTGATTTCGGAGCTCTTGGACTATTCCAAGGATGAGACTATTCAGACACTTGGTTGCCAGTCCTTAACAAGGTTCATCTACTGTCAGGTGAATAATACAATCCAGAAATGAATTAACTGATATTGTTTTTGCATGCGCTTTCATGCTACTGACACAATGAATGCGCAGGTAGATTCTACTTACACTCATAACATTGAGAAATTGGTGAAGAAAGTATGCATGCTATCACAGGAGCCCGGTGAAACACTCGAAAACTGCAGCTTGAGGGCATCGAGCTTGCAATGTCTATCAGCAATGGTAATTACTACTTTCCAATGCTTATTTTCATGTAAAATTTTATGGTGGTTGTGACTTCATAATTGTTTCAGATTCGTCTAGAGCTGCATTGTTTACTTAACTGCCTTTTTTCTTGTTAGGTTTGGTTCATGACTGAATTTTCACACATTTTTGCTGATTTTGATGAGGTAAGTTATTGTGTCTCTCTAGTGAAAATTCCAAACCCAACTATTTTGTAACTGCCGTTATACTTTGGTTTTTCATGTTGAATTTCTTTCTTAATTCTCGGTCAAATGTCATCTCTAATTTGTTTGTTAATTCAAAATATAGATTGTTCACGCCACTTTAGATAACTATGAGTGGTGTAGACGAAGTGAAGAAGCTGACAGGACAGAGGCTCATCACAATTGGGTAGAAGAGGTTGTTCGTAGCGAAAGCCGGACTGGTTCTTTTGTTGGTAATGACAATCGCTCTAGTTGCTTGATTATCCAACCACGGCCTGAAGTAAAGGATCCTTCCCTCTTAACCAGGTATTTCTTATTCAAGAGCCAAGTGTTAGGCCTTTTTATAGAGTTTTTTTTTTATATTTCTGTTACCTTATTCTTATTTATTTTTCATTCTTCTAGAGAAGAAATTGAAAAACCAGAAATATGGGCTCAAATATGCATTCAAAGACTGGTTGAATTAGCCAAGGAAAGCACAACTATGCGTCGTGTATTGGATCCAATGTTTGTCTACTTCGATTCAAGGCAACATTGGGCTCCTCAGGATGGTTTTGCATTGATGGTTTTGTCTAGCATGACCTACTTCATGGAGAACACAGGTATTGTTTTCTCCTACCACTGCTGTCTGAATTGCTTTTTACCGACAAATCATTGGATGTATTGTCTAGCACGACCTTTGTTTTTTTCTCATGTTGTCATTTTCCTTTATCTTTAACTTTTTCTTCAGGGAATCAACGATTTATTCTAGCTTCTGTGATACATCATCTGGACCACAAAAATGTTATGAATGATCCCCAACTTAAATCATATGTAGTTCAAGTTGCCACATCTTTAGCCATGCAGATTAGATCAGGGAGACGGCTGGCAGAGATTGGTTTTGTTGGTGACCTTTGCAGGCATCTCAGGAAAAGCTTTCAGGCCTCAAGTGAATTTGTTGGTGAACAAGAGCTCAACTTGAATATCTCACTCCAAAGTTCCATTGAGAATTGCTTACTGGAAATTGCTAATGGGGTAGGTTTATGAATACATACACACAAAACTGAACCATATCTCAAATTTATGCTTTATTCAGTTGAATTCTATTTGTGTACTAAACTTCTGTTTTTTCTTTGTTGGTTGGCTAGGTCATTGATGCTCAGCCACTGTTTGACCTGATGGCAATAACCCTAGAAAATATTCCGTCTGGTGTTGTTGGTAGAGCAACCATTGGATCATTGATTGTCCTTGCTCGAGCACTCACTTCAGCATTGGCCAACTTACGTTTGCAGCAGGTGCGAGAATCTCACTGTTATTGGACATTTAATAACCGTGTTAACAACTTTTGATAATATATAATACTACAACTTTCGTATGTCGGCGAGTAACACGCATTATTAAGGATTTTATTGGTTTTATCTTGGAATACATCCATTGATCGGTCTTTTTTTGGGTTCCATCTAGGGATTTCCTGAATCTCTTCTCATGCAACTTCTAAAAGTAATGTTGCATTCAGACGCAGAGGCTCGCATTGGAGCACACCTAATATTTTCTGTACTTCTTTTACCGAATTCCTTCCATACACACGAAGCTTCTTCGCTGCGGTCCAGATATCTAGATCAGCGCAGCAAAAAGAATTCTCACACCGCAGCTGCATCCGCTTCAATTACAGCTTTACTCGAAAAACTCCGCAGGGGCAAAGACAGTACAAATGCAGATCACGGGAATGTTGTTCATGATGACAAAGAAAGAGATACCGTGGTCGAAGAGTGGAAGCAAGGCCGTGGCTTAAAAACTTCACCTAACTTTTACAAACTCAGCTCAATCATTGATAGGGCTACAGGATCAACGAGTTTGACTGACACAGTAAGCAGATAAATTGATATCTGTTGATAGGTTTTATCAATTGTGATTTTTCTTAATATGGCTTTACAACATTTTAATATCGAATTGGATTTCAGGAACCATATGTTATGAAGCTAAGTGAAGATCAAATGGGCCAGCTTCTTTCTGCGTTTTGGATTCAGGCCAACCTTCCTGATAACTTGCCTTCAAATATTGAAGCTATAGCTCATTCATTCATATTGACACTAATTGTTTTGCGCATAAAGGTAGTTTATCTTTGCACATTCACACTGATTATTTTGATTATTTTAATCGTCATTCTGATTATTTTAATCTTTAAAAATGCAATGTTTCAGAACCTAAAAGACAAAGACAACCTGGTGATCCGCTTCTTCCAGCTTCCTCTATCTCTCTGGAATATGTTGTTGGAGAATAATGGTATGATCTAAATAAACTATTGTAATGTGAACTACTTAGTTGGAAAAAAAAACTAAAACTATGGTTTTTTATTGTTTCAAAAAAGAAAAAAGAACTTAAGAATGCAAAATTGATATACTTTTGTTCTGGCAGGAGTGTTGCCCCCAGCACGTCAGAGGTCTATCTTTGTGTTATCCGCTGGGATGTTGATCTTTGCCTGCAAAATATATCAGATCCATGATCTGAATGATGTGTTCGCTTCGATAGCAAAATCTGAAGTGAGTGACTGATCTTTATTACTACTTGATGTTGGTATGAATATGAAAGCCGTGTTTTATGCTTTCTCCAAAGAAAACACCTTAACGACTGTGTGCTTCCATTTAATCAGGTTGATCCGTTCTTGGGAATCAGTGATGATAATCAAGTATATGCTAAGACGCATATGGATTTAAGAGAGTATGGTTCTGCTGCTGACAATCAGTTAGCCATGTCAACATTATCTGAGTTGAGGAACAAAGTATCTGAATATGAGCGGACTATAAAGAATGTTTTGGTTCATAATTTAACGAACTTCATTGAGGTATTACATTTAATTCAGGGACCATTTTTTCTTCTCATAACCATCTGCGTTTGCGCCCTCACTTTCTGGTTTTTCCTTTTCCTTTTTCTTAGCTGGATGCAGATAACCTTGCTGTGCTACTGTCAGAGCCATTTAAGCCCGATGAAGACTTTGTGTTTGGTCCACAGTCAATCTTTGATCAGAATCAATTGACTTGTCATTCTCAGGAGTCACTATCAATTGATGAGGTATGCTAGCTAGATACTTTTTGTGGAGGGGTTAAAATAAGGGGGATAAGAAAGTTGAAGACAAATTTGGTGATCATTTATTTGTTTTTCAGGATTTTCCCTCAAATTCAGGAGGTGAAGACGATACAATCAGCGAAGCTTCTGTCTCTGACCTTTCTCGATTCATTTCAAAGATGCCTGTATCCCCTCCCCAGCCTCATGTTATCAGTATCGGACAACTTTTGGAATCGGTACCCACTCTTCATTTTGCAATTGTGAATCACAAGCTGTATTAATCTGAATCTTCAGTATACTTCGTTCCATCCTTTTGTTGAATCATATTATATTATCCTCGAAAAGACTACGAATAAATTTTTTCGAATAATACTTGCATTAACAAATAAAAAGTATATAATTCAATAGGAAACATTTAACATTGCATTCATTGGTTTTAGGCACTAGAGGTAGCGAGTCAAGTGGCAGGAACGACAGTCTCCACTTTGCCTCTCCCATACAACGCCATGGTTAGTCAGTGTGAATCACTCGGGACATGTGCAAGGAAGAAGCTTTCGAATTGGTTGACCGTCGAGAATCTTTACACTCAATCACCTGATCAGTCGTTTCTGGCCATGGCTCGTAACAGTAATGCAGCACTCGAAAAGGTATGTTCCAAGTCAGTTTGTCTAGTTTGACGTGCTATCAAAGCAGTCTCCACTTAAAGTGTTCTTTCTTCTTGTAGGAAGCATATGAGGGTGAGAATGCGCAAGTAGCTGCATCTGCATTGCCTAGGGATCCCATGAAGCTGCCTCCTGCTAGTCCATTTGATAATTTTCTCAAAGCTGCTGGGTGTTAACAAGCTAGCTAGGTTGCATATTTCATGTAAACATCTATGTTAATTCTAGATATTTTATTAGACACGAGTTTCATCTAGGAATGGTAAGCTTAACAAAACTTCAATCACCATTTTAGTCCTTCTAACTACTATGTAGATCTTGGAACTTAAGCCATGTAATATTTGTTGTATTATAGTAGTAGTAGCAGCTAACAATTTCTTAGCTAAACTGGTTGTGGTGGTACATATGGAATCTAGCACTGTTATTAGTAGGCCATAGAGATGAATTTCTGAGCCACTAACTGTTTTGGAGTCAATTGTGTCAGTGTATAATTAATATCTGTTTGCACGGATGCACTTGTCAAATTCTGACACAATAAATATGTTTTGTTTACTTTTTATTGTGACACTGATAGCACCTCAAAATATTGACACAATAAATACTATGCACAGTTTGTCTGTTTTTTTATCGGCAACCAAATTTTTTCTATGACAAGAGATCTAACATGTTCACCAGATTCTTGAGTTTAAGAGATCTAACATGTTCACCAGATTTCTCAGTTTAAGATATGACATCTGAATTATGATTGTTTTATATGATAAAGCGACTACTTTATCTGTTTTACAATGAGTAATCCAGTGGATTATTTCTCGTCAATTAAGAAAAGAGTATAATAAATGAAAAAAAAAAATAATATTTTTATTAAAATATCTCGTGCAATGAAAATTAAAATGAGTTATTTATTTTGAAACACTTATTTACTCCAAATGAGTGGGATGGAGAGACTATTTAGATTGTACAATTTGAAGTGCTCTTCACATGTCTGAAATGCCCAGACATATGTGGCATATGATCATACCATTCTTCTCCATCACATGCAAGAGTAAAAGGAAATAATCTTAATCTTTTAACTTCTTCAATGCAAGTTTCTAACTTGATAGTTGTGTAAGAAACTGTGAGACATTGGATCGAACTCTAGTGTGGTCGAAGTCTGTTCGCAAGTAATGCGTGTTGTAGTCGAAGTTTGTTCTAACATGCATGAGTAAATATTGCTAAGGTTGTTAGCATGAGTAAATATTGCTAAGGTTGTTAGCATGAGTAAATATTGCTAAGGTTGTTAGCATGAGTAAATATTGCTAGGGTTGTTAGCATGTGCTATTTTATTATAAATAGGATGCTAGTTTCTCAATCTTGGCATAAGGAAAAATAGGAAGATAAAATCCTAATTTCAAGGGAGAGAGGTTATTTTGTTATTCTTGTATACTTGTAATCTTGTTCTAAGAGAAAGGAAAGAATAGCAGTTTAATAACCAATCCTTGTTGTTCCTTGTTATTTTACCTTGTCTTCTTTGTTAACCCTAACCCTTGTGTGTTTCTTGATCATTAAGAAACCGTTTATACTTTGTTTAAAGGTATCCGATTCACAACAAATTGGTGCGGTGAGCGTGGAAAAGATGCCTTCAACAAAGTATGAGATTGAAAAGTTCACCGGAGTGAATGACTTCGGTCTGTGGCGCTTGAAGATGAAAGCCCTATTGGTTCAGCAGGGTTGTTTGGAAGCGTTGAAGGGTGAGGCAGCCATGGACGCTGCGTTAACGGCAAAAGAAAAGACGGGCATGATCGAGAAAGCCCACAGCGCAATATTATTGAGCCTTGGTGATAAGGTTCTTCGACAGGTATCAAAGGAGACTACAGCATCGGGATTATGGGTGAAACTTGAAAGTTTGTACATGACCAAATCTCTGGTGAATCGACTATACCTGAAGCAAGCTTTATATTCATTCAAGATGAGTGAAGACAAAGTGTTGGCTGAGCAGTTGGATATGTTCAACAAGCTGATTCTTGATCTTGAAAATATTGATGTGAAGATCGATGATGAAGATCAAGCACTATTGCTGCTGTGTGCTTTGCCCAGAACACATGCTCACTTCAAAGAAACTCTCTTGTATGGAAGGGAGTCCCTGACCTTTGAAGAAGTTCAATCAGCCTTGTATTCTAAGGACTTGAACGAACGAAAGGAGCATAAACCTTCGACGGTGGGCGAAGGTTTGGCCGTTAAGGGAAAATTCTTGCGAAAGGATGGTAAGTTCGACAAGAAGAAAGGTAAAAATCAACAGAAGTCTTATAGTGGCGAAACATCTAGTATTCGATGTTATCACTGTAAGAAGGAGGGTCACATAAGAAAGGTGTGCCCTGAACGCCTGAAAGATCATGGAGGTAATGGCAATGCAGCCATTGTTCAAGATGACTTCGACTCATCTGATGTTCTTGTGGTTTCAAGTGGCGACTCGAGGAAAGAGTGGATTATGGATTCAGGTTGCACTTGGCACATGACTCCAAACAGAGAATTGTTCGAGGAACTATGTGATCAAGATGGTGGATCTGTGCTGTTAGGAAACAACAAATCTTGCAAAATTGCAGGTATTGGATCTGTGAGATTCAAGCTCCATGATGAGTCAATAAGGTTATTGACTGAAGTCAGGTACGTACCTGACTTGAAGAGAAATTTGATTTCTCTTGGTGAATTCGACAGAAAAGGATATGTTTTTCAAGGAGAGAAAAGTATCCTAAGAGTCATGAAGGGGTCGAAGGAAGTCTTGAGAGGCGTGAAGAAACAAGGCTTGTATACCCTTGAGGCTGAGGTTGTAAGTGGTTCGACAAATGTTGCATCCACGAAATCTATGTCGAAGACAGAATTATGGCACATGAGATTGGGCCATGTCAGCGAAAGAGGCCTGGTCGAATTGGGGAAGCAGAACCTGCTAGGAGGTGACAAAGTCGAAAAGTTGGAATTTTGTGAATCTTGTGTATTTGGTAAATCCTGTAGGGCGAAGTTTAACAAAGGCAAGCAAAGAACACATGGATCTCTGGATTACATTCATGCCGATCTTTGGGGGCCTGCAAGGAATCCTTCACACTCAGGTGCAAGGTATTTTCTATCCATCGTTGATGACTATTCCAGAAAACTATGGGTATTCATTCAGAAGACGAAGGATGAAACTTTTGAGAATTTCAAAAGGTGGAAGATTCTAGTCGAAACTCAGACTGGCAAAAAGGTTAAGAGGTTGAGAACCGACAATGGCCTTGAATTCTGCAACGAAGCTTTCGACAGTTACTGTGTTGGGTCTGGAATTGCAAGGCATAAGACTGTAGCAGGTACTCCTCAACAAAATGGCTTAGCTGAGAGATTCAATCGAACAATCCTTGAAAGGGTTAGATGCATGTTGGTTAGTGCTGGATTGAAGAAGGTGTTTTGGGCGGAAGCTGTTTCGACAGCAGCTTACCTGATAAATAGATGTCCCTCGACTGCCTTGGGAATGAAGACACCTGAAGAAGTTTGGTCGGGACATCCACCTAGTCTCGACAGACTGAGAGTATTTGGCTGTGTGGCCTATGCTCATATTAGGCAAGACAAGGTCGAACCTAGAGCTCTGAAGTGCATGTTCATGGGATACCCTGAAGGAGTCAAAGCTTATAGGCTATGGTGCCTAGAGCCAGGTCACAGGAGGTGTATCACTAGTCGAGATGTAGTTTTCAACGAAGCAGAGATGGCTTTCAAGAAAACTGATGATGCTGACAAAGAGCTGGAACAGGGAGAGATTCCTGTTGAGGTGGAGCATGTTGATGCTGAATTGCTTACCCCAGATGAAGTCGAAGAAGACACAGAAGATGTTGTTGAAGATGAGGAGACTGATAATGACTACCTGCTAGCAAGAGACAGGTCGAGGAGAGTCATCAAGCCACCTCAGAGACTTGGGTATGCAGATCTTATAGCTTATGCCTTAATCTCTGCTAGTGAGGTTCTAGATGAAGAACCTAGAGACTATAAGGAAGTTATGAGGAGTCGAAAGAAGACTGAATGGCTGAAGGCCATGGATGATGAGATGAAATCTCTTCATGATAACAACACCTGGGAACTGATCAAGAAACCTGCTGGAGCCAGGTTAGTCAGCTGTAAATGGATTTTCAAAGTTAAGGAAGGAATCGAAGGAGTGACGTCGAAGAGATACAAGGCAAGATTGGTTGCTAGGGGATTCACTCAGAAAGAAGGTATCGACTTTAATGATGTGTTCTCTCCTGTTGTGAAACATAGATCCATTCGAATGTTGCTTGCCATGGTGGCCCAGTTCGACCTTGAACTGGAACAGATGGATGTGAAGACTGCATTCTTGTATGGTAATCTAGATGAAACAATCCTGATGAGGCAACCTGAAGGGTATGTCGAAAGGGGGAAGGAAGATTATGTGTGCAAACTGAATAGATCTTTATATGGACTGAAACAATCTCCTCGACAGTGGAATAGGAGATTCGACAAGTTCATGGCACACATAAGTTTCATCAGAAGCCAGTTCGACCACTGTGTTTACTTCAGATTTCGACCGGGTAATTCATTTGTTATTTTGTTGCTCTATGTGGATGATATTCTAATAGCAAGCAACAATGTCGAAGAGGTAATGAGGGTGAAGGCTGAACTCAATAAAGAGTTCGAAATGAAGGATCTGGGAGCTGCGTCCAGGATTCTTGGGATTGACATCCGGAGAGATAGAAAGCATTCGAAATTATGCTTATCTCAAGAGGCATATCTACAAAAGGTTCTCGAAAAGTTTGGTATGTCGAATTCAAAGCCTGTTGTGACTCCGACAAACCCTCAATTCAAGCTGAGTATAAATCAGTGTCCCAGCACTGATGTTGAAAGAACTTATATGAATAGCATTCCATATGCTAACATAGTAGGTTCTTTGATGTATGCTATGATCTGTACTAGACCCGACATAGCATATGCAGTAAGTCTTGTAAGCAGGTACATGGCGAATCCTGGAAAGGCTCACTGGCAAGCATTGAAGTGGATTTTAAGGTACATAAATGGGTCTCTAAATAGAGTCCTAATTTATGGTGGAGCCTTAGGTGAAGATAGTAAAGCAGCAATCGATGGATATGTCGACTCTGATTATGCAGGTTGTATGGATTCCAGAAAATCTATCTCTGGATATGTGTTCACTATGTTTGGGACAGCAATCAGT